GTAGATAATCCGCTTTAGTGGACCCGATAGAGGCGGCAAAACAAAAACGTTGCGTGTTGGTGCGAAGAGCAACACACGTCTCAGTTTGGGACTAGATAACTGGGTACAAAGACGGTCCGGATAAGCCTTTGATATTCCACTGGTGGTAGGGCCACGCAGCAGCCTCGGCTGTTGCACGAATGGGCAGGCCCGTCCGGGTAAGTACCACGACCTCACAGAAGACCAGCGTAAAGTGGAAGTATGACAAATACTTTCGCGTTTCGTCTGCTGAGTGAGGTAGTCGGAGCCCAATTTTCAAAAGTTTGTCAACGCATCTGTAACCCTCGGGTGTAGCTGATGTCCATGGGCGGCGGTATTCACTTAACATCAGGTGAACCGTCTGCTCGTTTGGCATCTTTTAACAAAAAAAAAATCCGCTTTAGTGGCCTCGATAGAGGCAGCGACACAAGGGGTCTCGTGTTGCTGCAAAGAGCAATACGCTACTTAGTTTGGGACTCATAGACGGACTTCATAGACGTTTGGATAGTCTTGATTGTTGACTTTAATGGATCCAATAGAGGCCGCAAAACGAGACCACTTGTGTGGGGGATAGTGACAGTGAGGGAAACGAGTAAGGTTAATCCCTTCTGGTATACAGCGTGTCGTTACCATCGCGACAATAAATGAACACACGTCTAACGCTACTTGCCAATAATCATATAAAAATATTAACGTTAAACAAAATCCATAATTAAAACAAATATTTTTCAAACAAACTATTTAAGTAAAAAAGAAACAAAATTTGTAACATCCTATACAACTCGCGCCACAGCGTCGTACTACAAGCCTCTCCTTCTAACAGTATGTTTTGTCTGTTTTAAATTCATTCAACCCATTCATATGCTTTGTGACCTTTACAAATGAACTTTACGTTACGCTTTTATAGGTAAGGCTGTTCTAAAATTCTTTGTATTGGAAAATTTTATTAACTCTGTAAATATTGATGTTTAAAGAATTTAAATGTTTAATACAACTTTTAAAAGTTATCCCCTATATGTGTGTTCATTTATTGTCGTCATGGTAACAACACGCTGTATATGTGTAAAATCCGTATTGGAATCCCATTTATGTATTGCAGCTACCACGATTTCTCCTAACGTCCCAGCTTGACTGGTAGAGAATGCCAATAGGTATTAAGTCCGCCCTTTGTAACTTTATTTAAGGTGTTTCAATAAAGAATCCATACTTTAATATTATAAATGCGAAAATAACTCTGTCTGTCTGCCTCGCTTTCACGCCAAAACGACTGAACCGATATAAATGAAATTTCGTACACAGATAGTCTAGGGCCTTAGAAAGGCTATTTTTTAATTGAAAAAAAAAATCATTAAAACTAAATATATAGTTTTTAAAGAAAGAAATTTATTTAAGGACTTCACCGCGAGGGAGTCCGCGGGCGAAAAGCTAGTAAATAAATGTGATCCTTAGGCTTATTCAAGAGCTCTTCCCAACTGGGGACTACCGAGATGAGTTATAGTAGGTACCACAGCCGCTGCAGCTTCCGCTGTTATACGAACGGTTCGGGACAGCCAGTGTTAATACCGACACCTCAAAAGACCGTGGAAGTAAAATTATGCTTGCTTTGCTCTAGAAAAACTGGCCAAGTGCGAGTCGAACTCACGCACGATGGATTCCGAACCATTATCTATAAAAACGGCAAAACTATCATGTCAGTTGTATTAAATATCTGTTTATTCAGTTTTTTAGTATTTGTTGTTATAGGCAACGTTACCGATACGTGTTGCATAATACCTATCTATATGTTAGTGGGCCGCGAAAACATAGTCCGATAAAGATGAGATCTCCGGTTGCCTAGCAACCGTAATCGTGCGATTTAATTTGTTCATTCCAGTTATAATGCATCGATTCTGGGACGAAGTTGACGAGGCGGTGCCGTGATAAACTTGTCATAATATAGGAATGAGTTGGCTGGCCTCTTTTACACAATGACCTAATGTTAACGAACGCGCATTTATTTCTTAAACATATGTCTACAATAACGTAATGAAAGCTGAAGAGTTGCATGTCTATACAAATAAAGCTGTAAAGTTTGTTTGTTTGAACGCGCTAATCTGTGGAACTGCCAGTCGGATTTGAAAAATTTTTTTTGTATTTGATAGCCCAGTTCTTGAAGTAGTTTTCAGGTATTTACCATGCTACTTCGATCTACGGGCGCGAAGTATAACCGTTTTTCGCGGATAAAATCACATGAAACAGCTAGTTTCTATATTTATATCATAAAATGTCTCTCTAAAATATTTGGCGACACTCATATTGTGATATGTGTAGGTGCCTATTGAAGCGTAGTTTTATGCAGTTTAACTAACTCTAATCGCCCCACTTAAGTTATTTTAATAAAACCCTATGATTTTCCTTAAATATCCAATTTTGGCAGCTATTGTTTTTAAGGAAAATCTCACGTATTCTAGATTGCATTGCATGTGCGAAATATTGGCAGGAAGTATAAAAATGTGTACGTGCAATCTTTACACGCGGTTGAAGTGAATCTAAAATAAATCACCATCATCCTCTAGCCCTTATCCCACGTAGGTGGGGTCGGCACAACATGACAATCATGTTGTAAGTGGTGTTTGGCTGTTCTTTGCCGCCTGCCTATCGTCAACCCTGCTTGGGAACAAACACCCAGATCCGGAAAAAGTAGCTGTGGGTCACACAAATACTTGTCCTTCGTTACTTCGAATCATGATTGGAAAATATAATCTATTATTATATAATCTTCAACTCATTTAATAGTTATTTTAAAACTAGAAATATATTAGAAAGTGTTGAATAGATCAATTGTTCTATTTCATGTTTGTGTATTGGAGAATATGTTACTAAGAGACGTGGCTGTTTAGTTTGACTCGTTGTGACCTCCTATTGTGAGAGGTATTGAAAAGGCCAACAATGCTTTTGCAGAGCAATGAGCTCTGATACAATAGCAATATCATTCAAAGTTTTTAGACCGATTTTTATCACAAATTCGTAGAATGTTTTGAACGAATTTGTAGATGCATTGACAAATCTTTTAAAAAGCGAGTACCAGTTCCCAGAAATCAGTTTGCTCGAGTATATTGAAATGAAAGCGAGCGCTCTGACATTAAATTATCGCTACTTTTAATCTTATTCCACTTTTAAGCGCTAATTGAAATTGAAATTCAAATATCTTTATTCAACATAGGAGCATTACACTCGCTTATTGATAGTCAAATTACTACCACCGGTTCGGAAAAGAAAGCCACCGAACTGAGAAGAAACGGCGAAAGAAACTCAGTGGGCTACTTTATTTCCATTTTTTGACATACATTGTGTGACATGAAAGCCTAAAGCGATCAATTCATTACCAGAGTGTGTTATCATTTAAATAATCATTAATATTATAATAGCCTTTAACACACAAACGTTCCTTTACAGCTTTCCAAATTAGCTATTGACGAATTTTGAACGTTTTCTGGGATTTTGTTGTATAAACGTGTAGATTGTCCCGTAAAAGATTTACTTATTCTACGCAGTCTTCTTGTAATTCATGTATTTTGTAAAGTGCCGCATAATAATTATTTAAAGCAAATCTGTCACAAGCAAATTATAAAATATGTAGTGTTAGTTAACGTATTAATATAAGACGTATTGATATATGCTAGCCTCGTACTCTATGATGAGAATGTGTTTCTTTTGATAGCAACACCTCGGTGGAGATATGCAACCAGTATCTGCTTTTCCGTTAACGGGTCAGCTCGTCCGTAGAAGTATAGTATATATTCCCAAGAAGACCGGCGTAAAGTGGTAATATCTATGATTTTGCGTTTCGTCTATTATGTGCTGTAACCTTTTGCTTTCCACTTATTACTTCAATTTACTTAACTTTTGGCAAATAAAGTAATCACGTAAGTAAAAATATTAAGTATGTTACCGAGTGCGTCCATGCGTTGCGAGCGATGCGATCCTGTGACTTTACTTAATCGATTAAGTCGATTAATTACATAATATTATTACTGTATTATAATTAATCGACTTCACCGACTCAAGGTATAAACTATTAGTCGTGGTCGCATATCCGGCGAGCGCATACATGTACAAATAATGTAAACAGCATGAGAGTAGGCGTTGCGTGTCGGGTCGCTCTGATGATCTATGACCTTCAGTGGTAATATCCTCTGAAGTAGGTGGAAATTCCAGTCCACCAGCCGTTACAAGGCTGACTGTTTAGCGCCAATTTGAGCATTTCATTTCAGATACACCTAGGCCTGTTGTTGTTTACACCGGTCCGTTCCGTAGGAGATCCCGGAGTCCCTCAAAACGTGCCGAAGGTGGCCACCGAGGGGTTTCAGTGGGTAAGAACCCCACATAACCCTGTCATGTAATAACATATACATGCAAAAAAAGGACTTGTTGTTTATTCAGAGGGCGTGATAGCTCAGTGTCCGGGCGCCCGTTCAAACCCCGGTGCCGGCACCGATGAAAGTGTTAATTCAAAGTGCTGACGCGTGCGCAGGGTTGAAGGAAAACATCGTGAGGAAACCGGCATATTTTCGAGGAAATAACAAAAGCAGAATATTTTGAGGATATGTGAAGTCTGCCAATCCGCAGTGGGGTCGCGTGGTGGACTATGCCCAAATACCGTCTGTACAGAGGAGGCCTTTGCCCAGCAATGTGATATTACTATTATATACTTTACGAAGACAAAGTTAAACTAATACTGCAATTGTTAACAGATCTTTAATTTTATTTTAATTTTTGCGGTTTTTTTTTTTATTTTCATGTACATCTTATCCATTAACTATACCTTTTGGTAAGTTTCCGAGGTTGCCTGGAAGAAATTGCTGTGTAGCAATAAGGTCGCTTTTTGACCAATGTTTGATTAATATCTTGTTTTTTGTATTTTCTGTTTTGGTGTGTACAATAAAGCATATATTTTTATTCTTATCATCCCTTCCACTGACAGCTGACAGACACAAGCGTACCTTATAAAACCAGTAGCATCCATACACGAATCCCCCGTATACTATTACGGGCAGCACGCTCTCCCGGAACCAGGACCTCCTCGAGTGGCCTGAGAACATCAACTCAGAAGCGATAGAGGGCAGGTCCACCAGCTCGCCGCACCTCTCCACCGCCTTCTGGATCTCGAGGTCCGTCAGACCCTTGCCGCGCAGGAAACGCTCCTTGCTCTCCAGGGTGCAGCGTTGCACGCTGGGGTTCGAGAGGAACTTCACGGCGGTAGTCACCTGAAACTGATGGTTGGTTTTAACTTGGCCCATCTTGCCACCACCGTCACCGCTACGCTAGTCTCGTCAAGAATTGGCTCTGTTCAGTGGTATGGCTGGAGATTTTCGTTACGGTATGCACTTAAAAAAAAGTAATAACGATTAAACTTTGATTACAACAAACACAGAAATTCAAGAGTTAAAATTAATATTAAGAGTTGACATGTGTAAATGATAAATTTAATATAACTCATGGTTTTGTGTGTTTTGCGACATGTTTGTATGTGTATTACAACCGTGTACACAAAGCTTTTTTGTTTGTATGGAGTGTACGCGCCTGGCCTTGGTAGAGAGACCTTATAACTAGAACAATCTTATTTTTTTTTTTATATGGAACTGACTAGCGCTTGACTGCCATCCCCCACCTGATGGTAAGTGGCAATGCAGCCGTGGATAATAAGCGCGCTAGCTCAGTAAAAGCCTATTCACTCTTGCCTTAAAGACGCCTACGTTATAATCGGATGGGAAGACCGACGCCGGCAGGTTATTCCATTCCTCATAATATTATAAACCCATTTTTCATAATATCATAAAAAGGTGGTCAACTAACTAATACTCATTTTTTATCACTACAAAAATTGAACAAGAACATGGTTGGCAAGAATTAAATTATTATTATGAAAAAGATAAGAGTATGAAGGCAACTAATTGAATTTTGCCAAGCAAATGGGTTAGTGCATTTATGTCAGTTAACCAAGCTTTCTAATTTGAATTTTAAGACAAGTTTTTTGTTATATCTATAATGACATTTAAGCATGCATTATCTTGTAATTTGATATTGATAATTAATGAATATAAATTTTTAAGGTTGTATGAAAAAATCAATACTTAAATTGTGAAACCTTAGACCAATGTAAGACAAAAAGTTAACATTGAATTTATAATGAATAACACAGTAATGTACTATTTTAGTAATAAGAAGTTTATCATTACTGATAAGATCAAATCTAATGAGTTATCTATAAGGTTGATAAATTTTAGAACAAAGTAAAAGTAATTAAATAAAAACCAGGGCAGAATATTTAAAGTAGAACATTGCTATAAAAATATCAAGCATTCAATAATAAAGGTAAAATATTTATAGTATTTAAAACATTTATTAAGCCAGTAATATAATGTTAAATCAATTTTATAGTGGATCTGGGGATTTGTTGATTTATTTATTATACAAATTAGTTTTAATTCTAAATTAATGAACACTTTATGTGATGTTATTCTGGACAACCAGATCCAAGATCCAAAAAATTCAGCTGTGATATATTTGACATACAAAAGCATTTTTGCCTAAATTGTACAAAAATATGTTAAAATTTAAGAATTTTAACATACTTTACTATATATAAGCATATTTGAGGACTCCATGGCACAGTTGTGAAAGTATTGGCTACAGCGTGGGGGCCCTGGGTTCGATGCCCACATGGGACAACTATTAGTGCTACCCACAGATAATTGTTTCGCAACATCCTTAGCAACATCCATCCTTCATCCTTAAAAACATCCTTACAGCACAGGATAATGTTGTCCTAAAGTAAGGGTGATGTTTTTAAATAGAAAAAAAAACATTAACATATTTTCTATATCAGTAACAAAAGGTGGTATGTGAAATACAAGAAAAGGTACAAAAATTACACTCAAGAACTGAAAGAGGAAGAAGAAACATCATGATACAATTTTAAAAACAATAAAATTTATATTACTACAGATCGAGCACCACGCACTACATTAATACTTTGTTTTTTTAAATAAAAAAAAGGTACGAAGGTCATATGATGATTAATGAAAATGTAATATTAATTGTGTGTGTTGTGTAATGTAATGCATAAAATTTCTTCTGTCAACATACAATATATTGTTATGCGGCTTATTGTGATTATAAATTAACAGAACATAAACATATCTAGACAATCACCAAATTTTCTCTAATTTCGGTTCCAGAACTAGCCAAAATTTCCGATGCCATTTCGATTTGAATCTTCTAATACACAGCAATCACTTCCTTGTTAAAACCCTCATTAAATTTAAGCACTTAACAAAACACTTATATAAATTATTTCACACGAATTAAAAAAGAAACTTCAAATTTGTCGTAAACTATTAACTAAAAAGAAAAACACCTCACGGTAACGAATCCAAATGACATTGACAAAACAAAAATCACATTCGTATTTAGTGATGCTTCTTCAGAACCAGTCTGTATTCTGTAATCTATTGGTCAATCTCTACAGAAAAAACAAGGTTGGAGACGGCATAGATAAAACGTAGGACTAGGCATGGAAAAATATATCGATTTATAAAAATATCGATATTTTTCCAAATAAATATCGATAAATATCGTCGATATTTTTATTCCCGATATATCGATATTCGATATTTATTTTCGACTATCGAATTCGTATCAATTTCGATAGATTTTTTTAACGCAACTTTGGTTTGGTGCACGTTCACGATAATATTTTTTTATCAAATATTATATAGCCTGGTTTCAAAACCTTTAAGCCAATACCATGAAAATAATAATTACAAATACTATTAAACCATCAGTGTGAGACGTGTATGACTCTGAAGTTAACAATTTTCGGATCTTTCTTTCAAAACATCAAAAAGGAAAAAATCTGCACCTGTAGTAATTTAAAAACTCTATGTACAATTTTTATTTATTTTCTTTTATGATTTATCGTTGGAAAAAGTTTCAAATATTATAAGACGTCGGCTAACTTCAGTATCATGAGTTATCAAGTTGATGAACTAATTAAATTCTTCAACTATTTAGCATGATACTTATATCAGTTTGCATGATTTTATTTAACGCTGTGACGTTCAATGAGTTCAAATTGTCTGCGGTCTGACTGATTAATATTTTACAATTTTAAACAATTACAAATTAATAAATTTACAAAAATAAAACATCTTAAACAGAAATACAAAAGTAGCCCTTAAGTTTCTAATTTGCCAGGCTTCGTCGGTGTCTTCAGAAAGAATTGCTTTAGCTGTGAATCTGACAGTACCCAACAATAGATTTCGTTTGATAGCAAAGCGCATTAAACAGAGGCTGCTCCTAATGTCCGTATCAGATGATTATTGGTTCGATTAAATTGTATTTGATTGAGTAGATTATTAATAAACATTACTTTTTTCTACTTGTTTATTCTTTTTACAAATTTTGAATGGTTTGGAAATATAAATAATAAAAATATAAAAAAAATATATCGATATATCGATTTATCGATAATTATCGATAGTTTTTAAAAATGCCGATACGATAAATATCGATATATTTTTTTACTTGCCCATTCTACATAGGACACATTATCCCTCTAGCCGTAAACCGGCTAGCAATATTTTCTAACAGTGTGGCCATTTCAATTTAATTCTTTAGAAAACAGGGAAGTTTTTACTAAGAGATTATTCAAAACTCTTCCAGTATATTGATTGTTTATTTATTCATAACATCACAAAGCAGAATGACAACGTATTAAAATATTAATACAAAGATAGTCCAAGTACGCGACGACGGCAAGTTATTTAAGAAAAACAAAAAAATTGACGGTTTATACTAGAAAAGTAACAACGAGTATAAAATGTATTCTAAACGTAAATCAAAAGTAACAATTTTATTATTCATCAGTAAGTAAATGACATCAGAATGGTGATGAAAATAAACGAGGTTCAACTAAATAATTAAAAGCGACCAAATGCAAGTTGGACTCGGAACGGAACCCTTTTCCGTACCATTATCATTAAAAAAGGCAAGAAATCATGTCTATCGTAGGGGACCCCCTTTAGTATTTTTTTATTATGTTTTTTAGTATTTGTTGTTATAGTGGCAACAGAAATATATCATCTGTGAAAATTTCAACTGACTAACACAGTTCATGAGATACAGCCTGGTGACAGACGAATAGACAGACAAACAGCTGAGCCTTAGGAATAGGCGCAGTAAGAATATGTTCCGATATGCACTGCGACCTCTGTACAGTGCGACGTCAATTTGACACACCGCCCTTGCCTCCGTGAGGCATTCTTTTAACTTAAATAAAAAACATAGAGGGTTCTGAGGAAGCGCGTGAGATACAAATATTACACTAGTTAGAGCGGTACGACAATGCGCAATATCAGATTTTAGAATCAATTTTATATCACTGTTAACAATAGTTAATTTTAAATCTTAATCATTTGAAAATAAATTTTAGTTTCTGTTATACACGTATGAAATCGTTGAATGGTATTTAAAGCCGTGCATAGAAGTAGATCTATGAATATAAGATGGATACGCGAACTTAAAATATCTAGATATTAAAATGCATAGTTTCTAAATCAGAAATTGGAAATCGAAATCTGATTCAGAAACGATCCTCAGAAAAATTGATACGACCCACGTCTATAACGTTAGTCAAAGACGGTACCGAATACCGATAAAAAGATATTCCTCTATTTGTAAATAATTTTGAAGTGTCTATTTCGTATCATCGCTTATGTCATCTTGACTTTAATGACATTCGAATGTACTATCTAGTAATGACAATTCATGTTCATGACAATTGACAACTTGCTTAGCTGAGGGCTGTTTGTTTATGTTAATATTTTTATTTTGTTTGAAAAGATAGTAAAATTTGAAAATAATGAGTGATTTTATAAACGCCACTGAAGCTGCATCACTTGCTGTTAAGTTTGATCAAACGGGACAAATTGATAAAGCAGTCGAATGTTACCGAACTGCAGCTCGACTGCTAGACAGAATTCGCGATCAGTTACTGCCAGAAAAACAGATTGATATACGTGAAAAAGTTAAGGAATATTTACACAGAGCAACGTTTTTACAGGAACAAAAAGGTATTTAAACAAATGTAGTGTGTAAAAATTTTATGAATGTAAAATATATTCGTATGATACGACTGGATTCATTGATGACTCACTAATATAAAAACAGTATTTACATGTATGTTTATATTAGTGTCATTATGGATTTTAAATATTTAAATTTTGTTTTTATTGTTGCTAGTGTGTATTATTGTTTCTCTCTCGCTGGCATTTAGGTCAATATACTCAAGCAAATTGGGTTCAAATCCCAATGATGGCACCAATGAAATTGTCCATTGCAAGTTTAAGTGCTCACGTATAACATGCTCAGCAGTGAAATCAAAGTCAAAATTTCTTTTTTGAATAGAGAGAAAACATTGGGAAAAACCTAAGAAGTCTCCCAATGTCTAATGGCTGGGCTTGCGTGGTAGATTACCTCCTGATACTCTCTGTAATGGGGAGGCTCTTTTCCAGCAGTGGGATATATATAGGCTGCTATTTTATTTTTTACTTTTACTAGTCATGCTCTCTGGGTTTGAATCATGAAGATATAAAATTTGGCCTAATGCATTGATTATACCGAATTCATTGCCAATTATGCTAGTATTCGTTCATGTCTTGCACATGTTGGACTCAACACAAAGATATTTGTTCATATCCCAACGTACACTCTAAACTTAACATACACACAAAAATTGTTAAATGTTAACCATAATAAATAAAGTGTTTATTGATTGTTTATTAATCTTGTTGGTTTTACTTAGACAGAGCACAGCAAGCTGACAGTGAGCGGGGTATGCAGCAATGTTACTTTCTTATGCAACAAGCCTTGGATGCGGATGAGGCCAACTTGAAAGATCTCGCATTACAACTCTACACACAAGCTGTTGAATTAGCTGTCAGTATTGTAAGTAGGGTTCAATATTCAATCAAACGTATTTATAACACATGAATCATTTATTAAGCTATTTATTTATAGATTGTAGCCGTCCATGATTATTGTAAGAGATAATTCAATGTTATTTTTTTTATTTACCATTGATGAATAATTTTTAATTGGCTATAGACTTGTATGCACATATGTTTGTCATTAATCATTACGTGGCTACTTTTAACTGACTGCCTAATGTTTTAAAAAAAAGACCTTCCTGTAGGATAGCATTATCACAGGATATGTTGAGTGTTTTACATATAAAAATTTCACGTGGACAAACACCCATATCTGGATCATATATGGGTCACATAGATACATTTCCTGTGTGCTAGCTGATCCCAGATCCCAGATTTTGAAGTTAATTGTTTAGCAACTGTTCCAAAAGAACCATAAAAAAATAGTTTAAATGCATGAGTTAGCAATTAAAAGTATTACAAATCCTTTGTTGTGGTGTTCTAAGCAAATATGCACATAAATTTATCAAAGTTCCAATTCAACAGAACACAAGTGAGTCCGACATCAAACAAAAGGTGAAAATCCTCGCCGCACAAGCTTTGGACAGGGCCGAGGAAATAAAAGGCATCAAGAAAATCAGTTCATTATCCATAAATGAGGCTAAAAAACCCGGTAATTTCATATTATTAAAACATAACAAACTTTCAACATACTATGCAAATATGATAAATATATAATGTTTCTTCTGTTTTGTTTAAGAATCATATATGAATTAAATGTCAATCAATTTGTTACATCCAATATGGTGTTCTGTACATACTATTGATAGATACAGATATTGTGTGTTATATAGTTCCTGAATACCGTGGTCCTTAAGTCCACCCAAGCGGAGGTTAATGGCAATATTAATATCCTTTATTAGATACACCTCCCATTTAGGAAAACATAATGGCATAAAGATTATTTTAATCATCAGCTGTTACACGAATGGGCAGGCTCGTCCGAATAGGTACCACGACCTCGCAGAAAACCGCGCGTAAAGAGGAAGTATAATACTTTCGCGTTTCGTCTGGTGAGTGAGGTGGCCGGAGCCCAATTTTCAAAAAGGTTGTCAACGCATCTGCAAACCCTAGGGGGTAACAGATGTCCATGGGCGGCGGTATTCACTTAACATCAGGTGAACCGTCTGCTCGCTTGGCAACTTTTCACATAAAAAAAGAGGCCTTTGCACAGCAGTATATGTATAGGCCGTTACTTCACTTTTTCTTTTTTTATCAGCGGTGTCACCGAAAGCACAGCTGCAGAGGGAGCAAAGTGTCCAACTGAAGGTGTCCGGCAAACAGTCGTACACAGACGAGGAGAAGGAGGTGCTCCGTCAGACGTCCAACATAAACGACAACTGCTTCCTGCCGTTCATGGACGTGGATCTGTCGGAGAGGTTCCAATACGCGATCCCGTTCGAGGACAGGGCCAGCGAGCTGAAGCTGTCATCCAAACAGCAGAAGGAGTTCGACTGCTGGGTGAGACCGCACGAGGTCTCCGTTGACCCCAAATTGATAGTCGGCGACCACGTCGACTGCTACAGCATAAAGCAGACTGTGAGTATCTTAGGATAGTCATCGGAGAGGACACTTAAATACTTTTAATGGAATAATGGGATGTATTGTGTAACATTACACGTATCTCATGTCTGCTCGAAAAATTGTTTATAGGTTATACACCGTGTTATATATTTACACCGTGTTATATATGATAATATATAGTATCGTTGTCAAATGCTTCTCATTTCTATAGTTTAAATATTGGGCTTATGTACCAAAATCGGAGCAAACCATTATTGAATGTTCTAGCTATTTATTTTTGGCTCTATTTATGTATTGTTTCTTAGTATTGTCATCATATTAAATTGTCATGTCACATGTTGTTTCTTTTTTACTGTTACATGAACATAGTGTTTTTCTAGTGTCTGGGTATTTATATATCTATAATATGTATTTATATAAGGATAGAGAAAATTTAAATATTTATTTAACATTACCACAGTTAACCATTATCATTCGTAACCAGCCGTCGCTTATCCCCAGATAGTGTCCGACTGTTCGTTCGTTGCCTCGCTCGCCGTCAGCGCCCTCTACGAGAAGAGATTCAATAAGAAGATCATCACCTCGATAATATATCCGAAGAACAAGAACAAGGACCCCGTCTACAACCCCTTCGGCAAGTACATGGTGAAGTTGAATCTCAACGGAGTGAGGCGGAAGGTGAGTGACTTGTACTTAACGATGTCCCATTGCTGGGTACAGGTACCGTCGCGCAAAACGCAATGTCCCCTTGTTGGTAACAGGTACCGTCGCGCAAAACGTAATGCTCAATTGCTGGATACAGGTACCGTCGCGCAAAACGCAATGTCCCCTTGTTGAGTAATGTCCCATTGCTGGATACAGGTACCGTCGCGCAAAACGCAATGTCCCCTTGTTGAGTACAGGTACCGTCGCGCAAAACGTAATGTCCAATTGCTGGATACAGGTACCGTCGCGCAAAACGCAATGTCCCCTTGTTGAGTACAGGTACCGTCGCGCAAAACGTAATGTCCAATTGCTGGATACCCCGCGCAAAACGCAATGTTGAGTACAGGTACCGTCGCGCAAAACGTAATGTCCAATTGCTGGATATAGGTACCGTCGCGCAAAACGCAATGTCTCATCGCTGGATACAGGTACCGTCGCGCAAAACGCAATGTCCCATTGCTGGATATAGGTACCGTCGCGCAAAACGCAATGTCTCATCGCTGGATACAGGTACCGTCGCGCAAAACTTGATGTCTCATTGCTGGATTCAGGTACCGTCGCGCAAAACTTAGCATAGAGCAGCGGTGGCCAACCTTTTTCAATGCAAAGCGAGTGTGCAACAAAAAATCATACAAATTCGTACGTTTAAACTGATCTAATTTCTGAAAAATATCAATCAAAAACATAAATCACAGAGCCAGAGATTTGGGTAGTTAAGAATTTTACGAACGTTTTTACGAGGGCAGCGATTATTATCGCCGTTTCAATTAGTAATAATCGCATTAATATTTTAACTCGGATAGTTTGTGTGCATGGTAGTATTTATAGTGGTAGCATATACGCGAGGGATTAAAGTATTCGAATGAAATTTGAAATGCAATACCGTGAAGCAACCGATTGATCTCTTAAAGAGTGGACATGTGGTAACGGAATTTCAGGTTATAATAGACGATCGGTTGCCGTTCAGCAAATACGGCCGTCTTCTGTGCTCGTACTCGAGCAACAAGAACGAGTTCTGGGTGTCGATGCTGGAGAAGGCATATATGAAGGTGATGGGTGGATACGACTTTCCGGGATCCAACAGCGTAAGTAGACTGTTAAGTAGTATGTTTGAATCCATGATGTCCATTTGATTAGTGTCAAATGTAATAGCACAGAAATAGGCTCCTAGCTGAACATTTTGCTTTTTATTACTTAGATTGTCCAAGTTACTTCCCAACTTGCTAGTCACAAAAGTTAAATTGTGAGTTTTTGTAAATAAAAGAAAAGACGCTTACCAAATAAGTTGAGAGCCCACGTACTACAAAACACATATTTTAATGTTTTTTTATGTGAGAAGGTGGCAAGCGAGCTGGCGGATCACTTAATGTTAAATGATAATTGCAGACGCGTCGCTATCTCGCTTGTACCACCTTTAATAGATTGTACCCCCGCTACTTCACGCACCAGACGAAACGCACATGTATAACGCTTCCACTTCACGCTGGTCTTGTGAGATACTTACTGGTACGTGGTACTCACCCGGACGGACCGGACAGCGAATACTGTTGCGTGGTCTTCTGTGAGATACTGGTACGTGGTACTCAAACGGACGGTTCGGCCCACTCGTGCAACCGCAGAACATCGACCTGCACGCGCTCACCGGCTGGATACCGGAGCGGTGCGCGATCCGCGCCGGCGAGGCGGACTTCAACGCGGACGCGCTCTACGACACGATACGCTCGCGCTTGGAGCGGGGAGACGTGCTGGCCACAGTGGCGACGGGCGCGCTCAGCGACGCCGAGGCGGAGCGCACCGGTTTGGTGGCCACGCACGCCTACGCGGTGCTCGACGTGCGGCTGGCCAACGTGAGTGTCTGAGCGATGTTTGGGTTTCGTGGCCCGACACGCTTTGGTATTTATTTATACATTTCATTGTACACACCGTAACAAAAGAAGCATTAACAACAACAAGGGTTACAAAACTGGTTGTACAAAGTGTGGCCCCATCGCTAACTTCCAGACAGGCCTTTCTTAAAGGAGATAAAAATTTACGCGCTGCGAGCGATACTCAAGTAGCGATGCACGTAACTCGCGTCACGCAGGGCGTGCGTCTTCTGAAACTGAAGAATCCCTGGTCGCACCTCCGCTGGCGTGGCAACTACAGCGAGCTGGACACCGCGCACTGGACCGCCTCCCTGCGCCAGCAGCTGCACTACGACCCCGACAGCGCGGCCCAGTACGACAACGGCGTGTTCTGGATCGACTACGCGAGCATACTCAAGTTCTTCGACGTGTTCTACCTGAACTGGAACCCGGGACTGTTTCAGTACACCTACTGCATACACCAGTGAGTCTTTCGATTTCTCGCACACGGTCGCCAGACGGAGATGATTCATTGAACAGCCCGCTGTGCGTCTGGTTGCTTCTTCAACGAAGCGAGCATTTTCGGTCGCTGGCGGTTCAGTAACCGCCGCCGATGGACAATTCAACACCTTGGAAATACGTTGTATAGGAGTTCTAACGTTTTTTACCTTGAACTTGAATATTAACAACTATTATGACGACAAGCTGCACTAGTGGTTATATCACCATCCGGGAACGCAGCCGGAATTCAACATCATATACATTGTAACGCTAACCCTTGAACTAAGACACTATCAGGCCGCTTGATGCTCAGAAAATAAAAGTTGTAACATCTTAATGTCTGAGGGGGAAAAAAAATTACAAAGCAACTGGGATACCTGCGGAGTTCCTTTCGCATGTTTCTTCTCCACGTTACGAAACGGCGGTAGATTGAAATAAAATGACCATCGATAGACGAAACGTACGTTTATTGTTAAGATGAATAAATAATTTTGACTTTGATTTCGCCCAGGAAGTGGGACGCGGGCAACGGGCCCGCCAAGGACGCGTACAACGTGGGCGAGAACCCGCAGTTCTCGTTGTTGGCGCGCGACAAGGGCGCCATTTGGCTGCTGCTCACGCGGCACATCACCCGCCTCGACGACTTCAGGGACAACAGGGAGTACATAACGCTGCTCGTGTACAAGAACGACGGCCGCCGTGTGTACTACCCGTGTGAGTGTGCGTGCGTGCCTGTGCGTGTCCGTGTGGAATATTAGATGGTCTCTAAGCTCAGTTCAGATAGGGTCTAAGCTGCGTGTTCCAGTGTGCGTGCGTGTGCGAGCCCGCGCGGAAGAATAGTCTCTAAGCTGCGTGTACCTGTGTGCGTGTCCGTGTGGAATAATAGATAGTATCTAAGCTGCGTGTACCTGTGTGCGTGTCCGTGTGGAATAATAGATAGTATCTAAGCTGCGTGTACCTGTGTGCGTGTCCGTGTGGAATAATAGATAGTATCTAAGCTGCGTGTACCTGTGTGCTTGTCCGTGTGGAATAATAGATAGTATCTAAGCTGCGTGTACCTGTGTGCGTGTCCGTGTGGAATAATAGATAGTATCTAAGCTGCGTGTACCTGTGTGCGTGTCCGTGTGGAATAATAGATAGTATCTAAGCTGCGTGTACCTGTGTGCGTGTCCGTGTGGAATAATAGATAGTATCTAAGCTGCGTGTACCTGTGTGCGTGTCCGTGTGGAATAATAGATAGTATCTAAGCTGTGTGTACCTGTGTGCGTGTCCGTGCGGAATAATAGATATAGTCTTTCTTAACATCAAACTAATCGCGCGACGGCCTTTTCGCAGACGACCCGCCGCCGTACATCGACGGTGTGCGCATCAACAGCCCACACTACCTGTGCAAGATAACGATCGGCGAGGGAAGCTGCGACCGCTACACCTTAGTGGTCTCCCAGTACGAGAAGACGCGCACTATATTCTACACCCTGCGCGCCTACTCCACCTGCCCCATAACGCTGTCGAAGTTGGAGCCCTACCCATACGTCAAAACGGTACATCTTTTCTCCATTCCTTATTGTAATTTGGTCGCTAACACCTCGTTAGTTGTTGAATTATTTACGGACGCACTGTCACGTATGCGTTCTTATTTATTTATCACGCTTTAAGTGACAGGCGTTAAGCCTGTCGCTGTGCATCGGACATAAATATGAGAGGAAGCGCAACGTCTTCTAACGTTATTTTCTAAGTTTGGTACATGAGACACATCTATTGAATGAATGGTTCAAAAGTTACTTGAATAATAGAAAACAATTTGTTAAAATCTCTGATTATCTCAGTGGCGAAACGGGGATTAGTTTTGGAGTTCCACAGGGTAGCGTCTTAGGTCCAACGCTCTTTATAATTATATTGATCCCGATAGGTCCGCGGCGAGTGGTCCGGCCGGTCGGCGGGCGGCTGCGAGAACCACCGCGCCACGTACCCCAACAACCCCAAGTTCACCATCACCGTGCCGGAGTCGAGGCCGCCCTGCCAGATGGTGGTGGAGCTGAAAGGGCCCAAGCAGTACCAGATCGGCGTCGACGTCAAAGTGGACTCCTTGGAGGACCCTGACGTCACGGCGCCCTTCTTGAAAGAGTCCTCCGGGCCGTACAGGTGAGGCGTCTATTCAAATATATATACATACATGCATACTATCATGCATACTATCATGCATACTATCATGCATACATGTAATCATGCAATCATGCACACATGCAAGCATGTTCTGATGCACGCATGCACACTTTACACTTGAATACATGCAAACACGCGCTCATGTAAACATTTGAATTGCCTTCGTAAATGTATTCGTAGACGTGTAGTAATTAATATATTTGCAATAACTTACAATTATTATCATTAGTCAAACACTCGGCAATCGTCACCTATATACATTTACAAAGCCAGTTCGCACAACACAGCGTTCATTTAACCGCCCCATTACAGGTCCGGTTTCGTGTGTCTGGAGCTGAGGAGCCTACCAGCGGGCCGCTATATACTCACCGTGTCGACGTTCTATCCGGCGCAAGAAGGGCCATTCATACTGGAGTTGAGGTCCACGTGCGAAGTGACGTGCGAGCCGCGGAGCTAGCGGGCGATGGGCAGAAGGGAACACGTCCGCCACCTGAAGACCTCTCCAACATAATAAAGACGATACATCAATCTCCAACTTTATATCGAAGAAAAAATTAAGCAAAATCACATGACTTACAAAAGTTCCAGGTAGGCAATTACGTTCTAGAAGAGATCACGTTTGCCTCTTTAAGATCTACTTTAATATCTCTTTAAAATCTCAATATTCAATGAACAATATGATCGATATTCAAATCTCAATCGTGTATAATTTTCGTAGAGAAGAATCAGTATCTCTTAAATATGTTTACGTTACGAAATATTGTATACAGGGTTACTTTGATGAATTAAGTCGACTACGTTTCTATTTCGGTCATTTAAGAAAATATAAGAAAATGTAAAAAAAATATTTGCAGCCAGTCAGCTAATACATTCAAAATTTCGATGTTTTTAAAGGATATACAGGGTGGCTTTTCTAAAGGTGCCCAAATTAAAACAGGTTCAGACTCGATAGTATAATCGTTTATTGAAATGAAAAAAAACTTTTTTTTTCCAAAAAAAATTCAATTTTATTCCTTAAAAAACAGAACTTGTTGACAATGCGGTAGTCATATATAAATGCGTCGTATACTTTTGAAATGATCTTGTGTGCATGTTAGTTATGAATGATTGCGCGTAAAATAAATGAGTTGCCCATAAATCACGCACTTTTTGAGATAAATTACAATGAATGTAATTAATTAATTACGAATGATTGTAAATATTTATATTTTCTTACATAACAATATTTATGTGTAGAATTTATTAAAAAAAGATGGATATACTTAGAAAGGCCTCCCTGTATTGTAATTTTTAGCTACCATAATAATTTTTTAACCTATTTTATAATATGCGTAATATAATATGCGTAATAGGTTCAATATTTTTAAGGAAATCTCATATCATTTTATATAATGTCGTCTTTAGTTGCTCTAAATGCGTATAAAATATCTAAATGCCTTCTTTGTTCAGAGTCCTGACTTATTTTTTTTTTGAGAAAACTTTAGTATTCCGTTTATTTTATACTCATTCATCGACTGAATTCACAGATATTTCACATTTTAACGTAGAGTTAATAAAAATAATTATTTAGACAAATGTTAACACTGGAAACATAAACAAATGGTTGAAAATATGGTATGCATAAGAAATTTTTATAAGTAAGCGTTTATCGTAACTTGTGTAGATGGATTAAGTTGAAAATGATTAATTTTGTTTTATAAAAAAAAAAAAATGAATTATTAAAGGCGAGTTTTAGAACGAAATCGCTGTTTGTAATCTTAACGTCTAAAATTCCTTGTCTGTGGTGTTTATTTCTTTTTTTGTGTGTAATATCACTCTAAACATGGCACAAAACTCTTTAATGCATGCCATATTTATATTTACTTTGTTTTAACCGTGTTTTCGAAAGAACAAAAAGGTGAAAAAATTTTTTTTACAAAAATATTATGTGATCCGGTCGACGAATAAGTTTTTTTTTTCGTGGCCATTATTGATTTACGCTTTTCTGCCAATCCATGTTCCGCCCTAGTTTCTCGTTTAACACGCATTTGCGCACTGTGATAATTATAATATTTATGAATTATTTCTAGTTTATAAGGCGTTGCTAAGTTGATCACAGTTTTATGACGTTATAGTAGTGTAATCTGAATTTTATATAGACCGTTAATAAATATTTTTACATCTGAATGATTGTTTCATTTGTCCCATTTATTTGTCTACAATTTTACCTTATTTATAGATCCGGAACGGTTTGTATAAAATTAAAGTAAAGTAATAGCCTATACATGTCATAGGCGTATTACATACATGGCAAAGGATTGCTCTGTACAGAGGGCATTGGGGCACAGTCCACCACGTGGCATCTTTGAAATATATTTTTTGTTGTTGTTTCGAAAATATGCAGGTTTCCTCACGATATTTTACTCGTGAGGAAACCTGCATATATTCGAAATAATGACAAAAAACTATATATTTCGAAGATATGTGAAGTCCGCCAATCCGCAGTGGGGCCGCGTGGTGGACTATGTATACGTGGTACCCTAATACCCTCTGTACAGAGGAGGCCTTTGCCCAGCAGTGGGACATGTATAGGCTGATACTTTACTTTATCAAAATCTTAGTTGCTTACAAATTTTCAAACTATGAATTGTGTATTGGCTGAAAAGTTTTATTAATACGCACAATAGGAGAAAAGACAAGTGACGATGGAAGACGCTTTGGATTTAACCATATTACAGCCACGGTACTCTACCGTAATATGGTAAAACAAGGAAAAATCCTGCAAGCAGAGAAAGATGGAAAATCAATTTTTATATTTAAAATAATATCAATTGTTTTTCCTCACCATTTTACGACAGTTCTCTATAACAACAAAAAATTTACAGTAGATAATATATGTACATCCCTTGAGTGTCGTTATATAGAGCTTACATTGTATATTGCTCCCATATTTGGGGCAATGTTTTTATTTGTAGCAATGCAAACCTTAACATGCTGTAGGGTAATGCTAAGTTTCTGTGTAGTCTTTCGGCTGGGAATTTACCATTTTGGCTTCCTTCCTGTATCGGGTCAATGAGGATGGGAACGTGTCAGATTTTATTAGTACGCAAGCCTTGGATAGCAAAATCTCCTGTCTTTTTTTATGCTAGAAGATGTCAAGAGAGCTAGATGTTCACCTCATGTTAAATGATAACCGGCGCCCATGAATATTTAATCTTATCCTTTAAACGAGCAATTCTGGTATATATATATACAGCGTGTCGTTACCATCGCGACAATAAATGAACACACGTCTAACGTTACTTGCCAATAATCATAAAAAAATATTAACGTTAAACAAAATCCATAATTAAAAAAAAATATTTTTCAAACAAACTAATTAAGTAAAAAGGAAACAAAATTTGTAACATACTATACAACTCGCGCCACAGCGTCGTATTACAAGCCTCTCCTTCTAACAGTATGTTTTGTCTCTTTTAAATTCATTCAACCCATTCATATGCTTTGTCACCTTTACAAATGAACTTTACGTTACGCTTTTATAGATAAGGGTGTTCTAAAATTCTTTGTTTTGGAAAATTTAATAACACTGTAAATATTGATGTTTAAATAATTTAAATGTTTAATACAACTTTAAAAAGTTATCCCCAATATGTGTGTTCATTTATTGTCGCGATGGTAACGACACGCTGTATATATAATCGGAATCTCGGAAATGGCTCCAGCGATTTTCATGAAATTTAGTATGTGCGTAGATTCGGGGGCGAAAAATCGATCTAGGTAGGTTTCATTTTTAAGAAATGTCCTTTTATCCCTGTTTTAAGGGAATGAAAAATATCATTAGAATATGACGGTAAATTTCGCCGCAAAAAAAATGTCATAATAGCTCGGTCGGTAATCGCGCGGCCCCAAAACAGACGGCCGTGGTTCGTGTCACGATCATTTACACACTCTTTTTTCCTTTTTTTTTCGATTCCAGATCATTGCTTTCTTTATTTTTTATTTTTTGTTGATCCAGATGATTTTATTATTTTTTTCCCTTTTTTTTTAAAGTTGTTTCTTTTGTGAAAAACACCACTTCATATTTTCTTATTATTAGGTCGGTAAGATCGAAAATATTATGCATATTTCATTACTCAGTAATTTGTATCTAAATGTAATTATCAAAATACACGATTTACAAAAAAAAATAACATTCCGAGCAAAGCTCGGTCCTCCAGGTACTAATTTTATTATCCTACATTTACTATTTAGTGGCTTAGGTTAATAGTGTGTTCAATAAATAGTTAATTAATAAAGAATCCACCGATTTATAGCAATTTAATTAGCCATTAAAGTACAACTTTTGTTTTAAATTGATAGTCAAATGTAAAAGGCAACAGGTTTGATGTTATTTCAATAATATTAAATGTAAGCCTCGCTATTATGTGGGTCTTAAGCGTACCTACGTAGGTCTTTAATAAGGATTATTGTAGTCGCGTGGGTCATAACTAAATAATACAGACAGACCGACTAGCAGTCTGCTCCGTTTCATAGTCAACAATAGAGGCACCCAGACAACGCGTTTCACTGCTTAACCGAAACACGAACGCTTCGTATTGTATTTAGTCGTCGTATTATTAAGTACTACTTTGTCTTACTTAGATGTTTAAAACTAATTGTTTCCAACATCTTATCTATGCCTTCCGTAATTGGGAGAACGTTACATAAACTACCATTCGAACGGGTAGACAGCGATTATGGTTAGTTAATTTGATTTTCATATTTTTACATTTTTTTTAGGGTTCCGTACCCAAAGGGTAAAACGGCACCCTATTACTAAGACTCCGCTGTCTGTCTGTCCGTCTGACACTGGGTTGTATGTATCTCATCAACCGTTATAAGTAGACAGTTCAAATTTTCATAGATGATGTATTTCTGTTACCGCTATAACAACAAATACTAAAAAACAATAAAAAAAATTAAGTGGGGCTCCCATACATTTTTTCCGTTTTTATAGATAATGGTACGGATATGGTACCATTCGTGTACGAGTCCGACCCGCAATTGACGGGGTTTTTTCCTCTACCAAATCGATTAACTTAGGAACTGACGGTCAATACGTGTATTTTCCCATTTCAATCTAAGAATCCAAATTAATTAGATTGCTTTTATTTCTAAATTACTCGCGGTTGGTATATTGAAAATTTCAGCTAAAGGAAACACATTATATATAATCACAATCATTAATTTGATTACTGGGAGGTATGATTGGCGAGGCCTGTGTAATATATTGCCAATCATGAGTTTTTCTCCGGTGTATTCTTCCAACTTTCCGGTAAGTAATTATAAGTTATATTGAGTGCAGTCGTGTGTTAGTTATCCGTTTGGGACAAGTATGTGACTTTTATTAGATTTCACGAGTCAGAAAATTTGTAAATTGGTAATTTTTTTTATTATGTCATAGTGGCAACCGCAAGCGCCGCCCACGGACTT